TTGAATAAGAATTACATATGAATTTTGGAAACAAACCTAATTCTTGAAGCCACGAAAAATTATGACCGCATTTAGGGCTGTTCGTAATCTGGAACATATCGAGACTTTCCTTCAATACTCGTTGTAGAGTCCTTTCCTTTGGCGAAGGCGAAGAATTGGGGGTGAAAAAATTGCTTGTAATCCGCGTAGAAGAAATCGGGGTGAAGTGCTTTCCTTGGGCGAAGCAACCGGGCGAAGTAGAAATTGGCGAAGAAGTAGATTTTTCCTTATGCAGTAGTGTCCTGGAGTTTTCTTTCCTTCCGTAAAGATGAGAGAGGGGAAGAATCGGTACTGGAAATAGAGGCTTGCGATTTCATCTCTTAGGTGGACACCTGTCAGCCTCTGACGTGTAATAAAATTAGGGGCCTTAAGTTGCCACATGTCACATTCTCACAAATCAAACTCTCAAATTTTATATTAAATGATTAAGCACACAAGGCAAGCAAAATGCAAGTAAATGATAAAAAAATTAAATGCATAAAAGTAACAATTGAATTATCTGGGTTGCCTCCCAGTGAGCTGCCCTTCTTTTAGTGTCTTCGGCTAGACCATTTGTTGTGCTCAGGACAATATGGAGAATCCATATTATACTCTTAATAACCTGTGATCAGTCAAAACAAAACTCCAAAGCAAACAAATAGATAATCACAAGGTCAAAGTAAACAATATAAACTAGTTCTAGTATTACTCATAAATTAATTTTTCAAATAAACACATAAACCTTTAACAACATAATTTTTCAAAAAGTGAACAAGTTTCTGAAAACTAGGTGTTATGATGTGTGGTGATTACCTGCAAAGCACAAATAACACAAATCGTACCCAACACTTGAGAGTACTTGGAAAACATTTTTTTTTGTTTTGTCAACCTTTACTAAAACCAGTTTTTTCTTGAATTTGTTTACTCAAATTGTTTTAGAGAAGATCAATTTTTTTTCGTCATCTTTTTTTAATTTTTTTTCGTCAAATTGTTTTTTAGTTTTTTTGTGTTTATGATTAGTTTTGTTTTCCAAAGCTTTGACGGTATCTTTTTTTTTTCTTTTTCGTGATTTTTTTTAGTTTCATTAAATGTACATATATTATTTTAGAAAGTATTTTCAATTTCTTTTTTTTCAATCAATTAATTATTTCTTTTTTTACTGCGTTTTTGTGGTTTTTACAAAGTTAGCACTTGTTCTCTTATTTTTGTTTGTTTGTTGTGATTTTTTTACAGTACTTCCAGCTAGTTGTATTGTTCCAGTAAAATTTTTTTTACAGTTTATTTTATCTTCTTAAGGTCTATTATTATTTTGTTGTTAATAGATCCTTTCCGATAATAGTAATTGCAATGATGATAATGATGATGATGATGATGATGATGATGATGATAATACGAAAAATGTATGCAAATAATTTTTTAAACACTATTGAAAAGAATCAGAAGAAGTTAATTAGATGAAACTAAAAGAGTGGAAATTTTTTTGAAAATGTTGGAAAATAAAATTGAAAGAAATTAGAAAGAGTTGAAAGAAACTAAAAGAAGTTAAAAGGTAACAAAAAATTGGAAAACAGTGGAAGTTCAAGGTGCATTTAGTTGTGGGAAATATGTGTCTAGATAATTATTATAGGAGAAACTAATTTTCACAAAAAAAAAAATCATTCTCTCCCACATATTTTATTGAAACCATATTGATATTTTAATAAAAATAAAGATATTTTGAGATAATTTTAAAATATTTTTGGGGAGCATAATTTATTTTTTATACACGATCAGTTTTGAATCTTTTCATAGTGCTCATTCTCTGGGATGGCGGGGGGAGGGGGTGGCGGGGGTGGGGGGAGATGATGGGGGTGTGGGAGAAGGGATGAACTCGATCGAGGCATTAGAGTATTTGAGGATTGAGTAAAAAATAAACTTTGATTCTAGAACTATAATTTTCTAGAAAAGTATTTTTCTTTCTACCAAATAGGTCCTAAGAATTGCAGAGTAGGATTCAAAAGAACATAATCTTAAAAATTTGAAGGAAATTCATATATTGAAAAATAATTTTGTTCTGCCCTGTGCATGACACGGGTTAAAAAAACTAGTATATATATGTAAAAGAGAGTTCATTGGTTGTAGTAGAGACACATGGCGTATGACATGACAAAAGTTTTATCCACATGACATAGTGTCATCATTTTATTGGTCCACATGGCATTTATTAGTTTATTTTTTTTTTAAAAAAAACTCTTTATGATTATTTCTTTTCATTACCATAACCTTGTATTTATAATACTTTTCATATTCTATATATATATATATACACATATATATATAATAGTTAAATAAATGTAATAAATATGAGAGTTTAGATTATAAAGAGTAAGATTTCAATGTATAAAAAGTTGTCTAAAATTCGTATTAAAACATTCAAACTTTTCCTTTAAAATTTTAAATAAAGTTACCTATCAAAATTATATACTCCCTCCGTCCCAGAGTATTTGTCCACTTTCATTTTTACACACCATCCAATGCACTTTTTTATTACATTTTATCTTGTAATTTGTATATTAAAAAATTTATAGAAATTATATATTAATAATCTATATGTTAAGACAAATCAAACAAGATCACACATGACTATATTTAGGCTTACACATTGAGAGAATTTGATGAGTCAAAGTGTTTAGATGAAAAGTTCCAAAAGTCAAAAGTGGATAAAAACTGGGGGACGGAGAAAGTATTTGATAGTGAAGTGTAAAATAATAAGAGTCATAGAGGAAATTAATAAACACATCCTCCCCACGCATACCATGATATCTTTAAAAGTGAAATGTCTATGTAAGTTATTTACAAATAGTTAATCTATTATCCTTCATATGTAAATGCATGTGTAATATTAATGTATTTTACCTATAGACAATGTGATAGAACAACTTTAATAATAATTTACTTTTTATTTAATTTTTGGTTTTTATTTTAATATAATAACAATTGTATAGATACCCGAAGTATATTTTATAGAAAAATATGTGAACCCGTGCGAAGCACGGGATAAAAACTAGTAACTATGTATTTTCTCAAACTAAGTCTCTAAAACAAATTAATTAGCGAGATGCTACTCGTTAATTGAAAATGATGCTCAACTTAGTACTCCCTTTAATGACGGTCAAAACAATGCCGAAAAGACGTTAAAACTTTTACTCCTTCCGTTCCTTTAAATCCTTCCACTTTTGACTTTGGGCAAAAATAAGAAAAATGTAATTTTAGTTGACTTTCCAATTTTGCCCCTGATGTGATTGGTAAAAGTAAGATGTGATAGTTTGGTTATTAGAGAAAAAATATGATGTGATAGGTAGGGTATGAAAAAGTAAGGGTAAAAGTGATTTTTTAATAGAAAGTGGAAGTGTTTTAGGGAATTCAAAAAATACGAAAGGGAAAGGGTTTTGTGGAACGGAGGGAGTACTAATTTCCCAAAATGCTTCTTTTTGATTGACGTTTTCTCAAAATGGTTCATTTTCAAAATTAAATCTCACTAAATATGACATATTAATAGTTTTAAATTGTTTAAGATGAGAATATAATAAATAAAACTATTAATATAACTTTATAAATTTGAAATTTAACTTTGACATTGTTTAAAATTATTTAGAAAAATATCATGTAAATAAAATATTTAATAAACGTTATTTATTTGCTCTCCCAATTTTGAAATAAGGCTCTTAACTTGGTTTACGATATCTGACTGAAATTACTTTCAAAGGATTATACCAGGATAACATAACTAATAATTGGTCTAGAATCTAAAAATGTACTTAAGTGGGAGAAAGTAGTAAAATACAAACTTATATAAGAGTAAAAGATATCGATATTATGTAAGTACTCCTATTTATACTTGCGGAGAGGCGTGAAATGTCAAAAATGTTCCCAATTTTAATTTAAAATTACAATTACAATCATGCTAGAGATACACCAAGAAGTATACTCCAAAGGGATGCACCAGGCTTAATCGAAAAAATTTGCACTGACATTTTATGTCATTGTAAACCATCACACTAGTACTACATTAACACAAAATGTTGGTGCATACCTTCACAGTTCAATTTTTGGGATACACTTAGTTTAATTCAAACACCTAAAAATTACTCCCTCAGTCCCAAATTATAATGTCTGTTCACTATTCACAGGTCAAACTTCGTTCACTTTCTTTCTCTATTTTCGTTAGCAATTTGATAAAATAAAGTACTATTGTCACTATTAGTTTTGTAGATCTTTTGATGTAGTATTTTAATGTGTAATTTTTATTTTTTAACTATATACCATTTATCATATAAAATAATTTGAAAATAATTTCAGTCAAACATCGTAAACCGAAACAGGCACTATAAATTAGGACAGAGGGAGTAACTTTCATCGGCGCATTTCTTTCTCATTCCACGTATCTCATACTCAATGTGAATTGGCTTATGGAATGGGAAATAAACAAAAAAAACACTTTAGGGTCGATTTTCTTGTATCCTACGTTATCTGAAATATACTCCAAGATACCTTTGATTTTGTGATGAGAATTCTAATATCCAACATTATCTAAAATATACTCCGTAATCCGTAAAATTTGTTATATTTTTAGTACACATTCCGTCCATTTAGACAATAAGATAGAAAGTTTCGTTACTTTGACCAATTGAAAGATTGCATTAAAGTTTAACAAAATAATGATTATCAAGGTAAAATTTATAGTATTTGTCAAAATAACAGAATTTTCAATCTTAACGGCCAAATAGACATAATGTATCCTCAAAGTACATTATCACATATTTAAACAAACTCCCAAAGTTTATTTCAGTTAATGTGAGACATGAGAGTTCTTACCAAAAAATCGAGAATACCTCAGTAATTTTTTGGGGGAAATAAATATAAAGAGTTATGCAAACATACAAACAGTTCTATGGGATATGAAAATGGGAAAGGACAGCTCTTATATAAACAAATAACAATACCAAACATACCCAAGTCAAGGATGAACTTATGATTTCATGCAAGAACAAGGCAATGGTAGTAGCCATAATACATATAGTGAATGTCAGCTAGGATATGATATGGTCATATGACAGCACACTACTACAAAGACAATGGATAAACATAAAACACTTATTTCTAATACAAAGTTCCCACAAATTCATAAATTGCAATAACCCAGTAAGACAACATTACACTAGACGTCTTTGCCCTCGCGGTTCAGAGTAGAGATAGCCTTTATCACTCTCCATATAGCTTAATTATTTTAGCCATAAAGATATATTAAACAAATTAGTCATAAAACACATATATGTTGTAAACAATCACTCATTTATTTAACATTTATAAAGTTCATAACTGAAAAACTTAGCTTTGTGTTTTATATGTAATCCAACATAAATGGGCTATTGTTTACAACATACATATACTTGAACACATTTTTTTAACAAATTTTTATTTGTAGATAATTAAGTGATACGTAGAGTGATACAGGGGATCCTTTTTACTCTGTTTCTCATGCAGGGCACTCTGTTTCCCTGAACACACCCCACAGATAATGTTTTCCCTGAAACCCTGCATAAAAAGTTATATGTTGTAGTTTGAGAGTGCAACAGCAGAAACCATAAATCTCTGGGTAACTGACAATTCCAATCATCATCATCATTCATGGTGTAAATTATCTCGACTGGTGTATCGCTCTTAGCCCGGCAAGACCGATAAACTAGTCTAACAAAATACACCAAAATATAAACACATGAATTTTTACGTGGAAAGCCAATCGAGAAAAAGTCACGAGCCTTTTTTGGCGGTACCTTGCCAATGGGAGGAGATTTTATTAATATCGGGGGTGTGTACACATTACATAAGGAAGAAGAATATGAGCAAGCTACGTGATAGAGACAGAGTAGTGTAGTGAGCAGGAGAGGAGTGTGACATGTGAGAGGCCTCCCTGAACTTGTGAAATGGCTCTCTTTTTATAGGAGGGGCATGAGCATCTTTGGGGGAATTGAATATTCTCTGATTCCCCCATTTTATTTAACAAACCCGATTTAATTGATCTTCATAAATAATTGGGAAATCTAGGCCAGGCCATGTATTATTTCCCATTAATCATCATCATCATCATCATCAACAACAAAAACACCAATAAAATTCCAAGAAAAATATGGTCTGGGGAAGGTGTGTGTATGATGGCCTTACGCCTACTCGGAAGTAGAGAGGTTGTTTCCAAGAGACGCCTAACTCAAGCACAAAGTAAACAAAAAAGGAGACACAAAATCACGAACAAAGAGCAAAGGAAAAAGAGCAAACTGAGGTCAAAGTAAGCACCCAAGACATGAAGCACACAAACCAACACTAACAACAAGACCCATAGAGCATAAAGCAAAAAAAGAGGACAAGCGAAAAAAATGCACTCACAAAAACTACAAACTAACACCCAAAGGTCTACCCAACTGACACTTCACATCAAGGAAAAAAATGATCACTGATGGAAAAAATATAGCAATGCGGATGAAGTAGGACTCACTGCGATAATGTGGTTGGAGCTCCATTGAAGTAAAAACTAAAAGCTCTGCACTTTTCATGAAGGCACTCAACGCCAGTCCTCGACGCATCATTTCGTCAACTAAATAGTCAAAAGTACTTTCATATCTGTAGAAGGGAACCCGTTATTAGAACAACAACAAGAAAGCCTTATCCCAGTAGGTGGGTCGGTGAAACCCATTATTAGAAATGATTCAAAAATATGATGTACGAGACATGAAGATGGTAAAACTATAAAACCTTGCGCTTTCTGGGAAAAAGTATAACCCAATATTATCATCACTGGGTTCTTCCAATGCAAAAGTCTTTGGCAACAAATCGGACTTAGAAAAAATTCTGAAGTTCATCATTCGTGGGCACAGACGGACCTCGTCATGCACCCTCTGGCAAGCTTTACTTGACAAATGAGCGACAAATCCATCAAATTCAGCATTTCCGTCATGCAGTATCTTGAAGCTGCCCCTGTTTATAAGAATTGATACCATCAACCATCATCCTCTAGAACCTTAATCTCAATTATGATGAAGTCGGTGCTACAAAATTTATAATGCCATTTAATTGCCTAAAATTAGTTAATACCATGAAATCATGCAAGAAACAGTAGCAAAAGCATACACTGGTTGTCCTTGTCATAACTTACTAAAAAACAGTGAGATACAATTCATAAACCCGTCAGCAACATTCGCTGTTTCCACTTGCGCTTAAATATCATAAATGAAACATGAGCTGAGATAATTCTTTTAGTCATGTCCCATTAAAAATTGTTATTGTAAAGTCAGCATGAATATCATGATCATGGAACACGAGCAAGTGAGCAACATGTAATGCACCAATTTGTATGTTAACCCAAAACCAAACATCCTCCGTGTTCCCCGCCAAGAAGTATGATCAAAGTGGGGTGAGATGTATGCAAACCTTACTTCTACCATGAATACCCCCAGCTAGAGCAAAGTTTTAGAGATAACCATCATTCCCATTAACATTTGCTTCTCAATTTTCATCGCTGTATGAATTACAGCTAATTGAAAATCTATATTTACAATACTGAAATGACACATAAAACTTCTATTTCTTCTCTTGCAAAAAAAGAACATGTTGGTCTCACCTCCAAATTGGAACAGTAACAGGTTGTGACTGATCATGCCATTCTGGTAATGTCAAAGTTTTTGTTTTGAGATTGTTCCAACAGTTGCGAAGTTCGAATTTTTTTCCTCTGTCAAGCGCATCATTACAAGTTGAAATTTTCTTGATCTCCCGGTCCTTGACGAAGCAAACACCAATTGAGAGGGCAAGCTCTACAGAATCAGTTTCTTCGTGTACCACTGCAGGCTGACACAAACCACCATCCTCTTTCACCGCCAAATTAGTTAAAATTTCATTGTTCTTTGATTTCTCTGGTGGCCAAAACCCACATGTTAACGTTGTATCCTCACATTGACCAGGAACCATTTGTTGATATGAGGAACGATTTGCATGTTGGTGGTCATCTACTCTATTCGTAGCTACAGACAATTGAAGTTCCTGGAGCACATCATTTTTCTTATGTACCGGATGACATTGCTTATGTTGGATCTCTTTATTATTAGTTAAGATACAGCCATAATCCACAGAATGCTTCACCCCAATCAACTCACTTTCATGTGCTTCTTTCGTGGGCAAAGAACTGTTCCGTGTTCTCCATTCCTCAGACTGACTTGAAGTAGCTTGCCTAACATTCTTAAGTTTCATTCCAAGAGAAGATGATGCACATTCCTTTTCTTCAGCCAGTCCCAAGTTTGCTTTCACGTGAGGTTTATTAGATTGCAGAAGATTATCCTTAATGTATTTATCTGGCTCAGCGGTGAGATTGTAGAGGTCATTTTTGTTGAGTTCTTCTGCAAGAGTGGAATTAGAATGTTTTGGGAAATCAACTTGTTTCTTAATCAAGAATGGACCAGATTTTTGGCTAGTGAATTGCCATTCAACATGAGCTTTACAGTCCTCGCACACCCAACGGACAAATTCATCCACAGAGTTTGGAGAAACATCAAGGCAGTAGCTGAAGAGAGAGAAGGAAAATGGCAGAAAGGCAAAAAAGATTGGAACCCAATCACAACTATGTACACATGGAACTCACATTATATGCATAATAGAAGTTAAAAAGCAAAGGAACATGTCCCCAAACACAATGCCCTTTTCATTAGATTCCAGCGATTGTACTGACAAGCCATTCAATTTTAATACAGCCCACTTTAGATGCTAATAAGATTTTTTTTCTATCAATCCGATTCCATTTAGTAGATCGAGGTAGTCACATTTGTGTTTCAGAACACAAGATTGCAAGAGCATACATTCTAACGATCGTCAGAAGCCGTAACTATCTCGAATAGTGGAACCACGTAAGAGCTGGAATACTCTTGTATCCCATAGGTCATCATATATGTAATAATATACATTGTGTTTTGTCACGATGTGCCGATTCTTTGTAGGAAACAAATTTAAGTTACTTTTAAAATGTCAAACCTCAAAAATATGTTAATTTATTTTCTAATCAAAACTTAAGGCATAGTTCTTATAAGAGTTGTATGCATAATTAGTCCATGTGGTTTTCCATAAGAAGGTAAATAATCCCTGTACTTTGAGAAGTTGTAAAATAGTCCCTATGCTCAATGAATTAGTGCGTAATTAGTCCTTTCAGGAAAATGTAAAGACACAAAAGACATGTGTATTGTGTGAAAATGTGAAGCATGTAACAAAAAAAGAAGTTAATCTGATAAAACTACCCTCATCTTTTGTGGTTAAAGACAAGAAATGGTCTTTTTCCAGCTCTTATATCACACGATATTACCCTAGAATAAAACTACTTGAAAACAAAATAATGTCAAGCTCACATAGAACATTGTTCTACAATTCAAGAATATCACTGTTGAAGATATGAAGAAGTCGTGAGAGTTGAACCAAAAGATGGAAGATAGTTTACTATTGTTCAAACTTAAAAATCACAAATGAAACTTCAATTAGCTTTTTTTATTGTTACATGATTCACATCATTGCATAATAAGCGCGTGTTATGCACATTTCACAAAATCTCTAATAGAGGGACTGATTTTGCAATGATTCTCTGACCACAAGAACTATTTTGAAACTTTTGAAAGTTTGGGGACTATTTACCTACTTATGAAAGACCACAAGGACTATTCATGCATTTAACTCTTCTTATAATTGGTTTTCTGAAATTTTTTTTTAAAAAAAGTACACACTCCCGCTTTGACTTTAAAGTTAAAACGCCTAGTGTGCAAATGACATTTTGTGGTTAATTTAAAAATTAAAATAAAATTAACTGCACAGATATATTCTTCAATAGTTCAATGCAAACAAAAAGAAAATTCTGAAACAACCCAAAAAACAAAATGAGGAAAAATTACTGGTCGGAGGGAGTGTTCAACTAGAATGATTTCTTTTGAATACTGAAAAGAACATCAGTGGGCTTTGAAAGTGGAGTAGGGGTGGAGACAGTTGGGCTGCAGTTTGTGTGTGTGTGGGGGGNAGAAGTTCGGGAAATGGTCACTGATTGCAACAAGTATTGCAACCAAAGATTTTAAAAGGGATGAGAACATATGTGTTTGCAAGGGAGTGTTAATATTTGTATAGCAAACATGTAACTGGAATAAAAGAGACGGAGAACAACAGAGGCTAGTGGAAGCTAAAAAGAAAAATGTGTAAGATCATTCTTAAATCAGATTTTATGAACTTAACAAAAAAAATCAAAAAAAAAGTATATGTACTCTTCTTTTAACTTTTATTCAAAAATGCATATAAAATGTATTCTAGTTCAGCACCGGCCTTGAGAACAAAGACCCATACCCTGGTTCAAGTTTCAAATCAGGACCAGAGCCAGATTGCATCCAAGCCAAATTTAACATTGCAGTTTTTTCCATCAAACTACGTTTTTTGAAACACGGTGCTTCTCCTTAGATCAATGCTGATTTGGAGTGGATCCCAGTTTATGGACTTTACTTTGACCTGTAGTACACGTTTGCTATGTAACTTTCTCATTTTTTCTTTTTAGATCATTGTTTTAGGGTGATTTTCTTGATGAGTAATTGTAAGAACCAGTTTTATTTTCTTTGGTCAGATTGTCAGAATATGGTCAATCTCCTAATTTTCCTTGTATATTCAATTGGCCGAACAATACTTTGTCTCAGACTCAGTTTGTTCTGTCATCTATAGTATCCTATTCTTTTAGACCATGTGTGATTGTTGTTACTTCTCATGAGGATCACTTCCATGTTTTCTATATATGCATATGCAGACATGGGTTTACCGGTGCACGGCAACATGCTGACACTGAACACAATGAAGTAAGGAATTGTCAAATCCTTCATCACCACACTCCAGGCACACTGTGACCTGCAGCAATGTAGATTACATAGTTCCAAGAGATGGTTAATGCAATGTAAGTGAAAAGTTAGCCTACCTACACATGGTAGTCACACTGGCTTCCAAGTAAAAACATCTAACAAATGCATTATAGATATACCTTAACAAAGAATCCAACTTTATTAACATACACTTTGCAAGTAGAAGCAGGTGTCCAAGTATTCCCCCTCCGTCCCAAAATTTATTTCGGCCTTTGCCCGCTTGGAGTTTAAGAAAAGTGTTGAAAATTTAAAACTATGATTAAAATTTTCTAAGAGAGAAATCAAGATGCCAATTATTTAAATCCATGTCTTCATCTGCATGTTATGAACACTCTGTCCCGCCCCCATTTACAACATTCATTTTCACCTGCTCATCCTTTTCACTAATCGGGGAAGTCATTCCTTTAACCTTTTAGTTTGGCAAATTTGTGAATAATTCACAGCTCATGGCTCCTGTGGAGGATAAGCTGTGGGAAGCAAGGTTGAAGTGGTTTGGGCACATGAGGCGGCGGAATACTTATGCCCTTGAGCGGAGATGCGAAAGGCTTACGTTGGTGGGTGGGAGTAGGGGAAGGGGTAGAAACCTAGGAAAAATTGGAAGGAGGTGATTAAAGAGGATCTAGGACTTCTTGCCCTTACTTAGAATATGAACTTACATAGGAGCATCTATAGAACTAGGATTGGGTAGTCGGGTAGATGTTTTGGGCTAAGTGGTAGTTTCTGCTCTTGTTGTGTGAGTGTGATTTGTATGCTTGGTGCTCTCTATTTTCCAGATTTTTGCTTCTTTTAATTAGTTTGTTCTTTGCCTTTGAGTTCTTTATGCTATCTCTACTATATTTACTCTCTGCGATCTTTTTTAACTATGCTACTTGATCTGAGGGTCTCTAGGAAACAACCTCTCTACTTTTGAGTAGGGGAAAAGTCTGCATACACACACCCTTCCCGGACCCTACACTCGTGGGATCAAACTGGGTTGTTGTTGTTTGGTTTACTACATATTTCCTACTTTCACATGACACGATCAGTAGCCTGATTCTGTAGGTGTTCCTCATTAAGTCATCAATCTTCATTCTCAAATTTAAAATAAATCCCTAAAACTTCATTCCTCTTAGTACTTGCTTGGTTAGAATTACTTCTTTGAAAGAGCACAACTAGTAGTACCAACAAGCATTGCTCATGGGTTTCAGCCTCCTTTACCACTACCACGCACTGGTACCAACCGCTACTAGAACATACATGCACCGGCATGTGAACCAAGCTCTGCAGACATTTTTTAGGTTATTCTCAACAGATTCTCATCTAAAGCAAATTTCCAGGCAACTTTTCAAACGGAACAACACAAATTAGTTTTGTAGAATACGTGATGAAACATATATTGTATTGACATATCAAGTACATAAACAAGGTCCTTATATATAATACAAAAATGTATAACACTATAACATGTGCCAAATCCAGTACAAAGAGGATTAAGGTTATGATGTCAACACTCCTATCATATATGTCTTATGCACAATTGTTGCAGATATAAGAAATTCGGGGACCTCTAAATATTTCTTCAGTGTGTCTTTAAGTTGATTAGCAAAATTGACAAAGTTCGCAATGTCTTCTCCACTGACGAATTTGAAATAAGACATATATATGCTTCGCCCTCATCTGACATGCTTTATACAGAATAGGCCAAACCAAATACAACTTGGTTTAGGTTACTATATGCACCAAGCTTGCTACATGTGTACATGCTCCTAATTCAATTATCTCTAACTGATTTTGTTAGTATGTCATCAAGTTAAGTAGCACAATTAACACTGCTTGTGTAATGTGCCCGGGCATGATTGTCTCTCTCATGAATTCATAATCAACTTTGACATGCTATGTCCTCGCAAAGTATGCAAGATATTTGACAATGTGCAATGCTTCCCAACTATTGCGCACAACAATCATTTATCATTTAAAACATATAGGAATATATTTCACATGCTCCTTAGTCACGAGGAGGTGGCACGCATCATCCGCAAGATGAAAAGGGAGAGAGCCTTGGGGCCGAACAAGATTCCGGTGGATTCTTAGAAGTCTATGGGAAATAGTGGGTTGGTTTGGTTAACCAAGCTCTTCAATGTTGTTTTTAGGATGCCTAAGATGCCTGACAATTGGGGAGAGAGTTTTGGTCCCAGTCTTCAAGGGTAGGGGTGATGTTCATAGTTATGAGAATTTTAGAGGCATCAAACTTCTTAGCCACACCATGAAGGTTTAGGAGTGCATCATTGAGGCTAGGCTAATAAGGATCTCCATATGGGGTTTATTGACCTCGAGCTTGGGTTGAGAGGGGCTCCGATGCATATATTTGAGTAGTCTCAACTATGTATGGCGTGGCAAGGAATCGGGTAAAGAGAGTTGGGATGACTTTGAGCCTTGCTTTGTCCTTCGTCCCTTCCTGTCTGCATTGGTAATGGATGCTTTTTGGCAGTACCGGTGAACAAGATGGCCGCGGCGATGGAATCTGGGACAGAGGACTTGGTAGGATCTCTCTAGATCTGGAAAAAGCGGAAGAATAACTTAACAAAATTCGAATGGAGGCTGACCGCTGAAATGGACGGCTGCCATAGCTTATGAAAGGGAGGAAGAGAAAAGTAAGGATAAAGAGCGCGGAGCCAGCCAAGTGAGCACGTGCAAGGATTTGTTTCAAAGGTAATAGAGTGTTCACGGGGAAATTCCTAGTGCATGTTTTTTGCTGACAATATTGCGCTGAACAATGAGACTTGTGAGGGACTAAATGACATGTTGGAGCGATGATGCCGCTCACTAAATCCAAAGGTTTTAGACTTAAGACTACGATTGATTACATGGAATGTTGGTTCAAGGATCGAGTGACGTAATCAGAGGTGATAGTTGAGATTGGTTCCCACCAAGTGTTTAAGAGAGACAAATCTGATATCTTGTTCGGTCATCCAAGATTTGGGGAGCTATACGGGGATGTTGAGCACCGTATTGGAGTGACTTGGGCTAAGAGTGTTATGCAACAAGAAAATTTCGACTAAGATGAAAGGGATATTTTATCGGTTGGTAGTCAAACCCGCCATGCTATACCATGCAAAGTGTTGGGCAGTTCAGAAAACTCACGTTCATCAACTCCATGCATGCTGCAAATATGTGAATGCTACAATGGACGAGTGGACTGACACGATAGGATAGGATTGAGAACGAGGTTATCCCAGGACGGGTAGGCATGGCACTTGTGGAGGATAAGCTACGAGTAGTGAGGTTTAGATGGTTTGAGCATGTGAGGCGGCAGAGTGCTAAGGCCCCATAGCAAAGATGTGAGATGCTTACGGCTTTGGACAGAAGTAGGGTGAGGGGTAGACTTACGAAGAATTAGAAGGGAGTGATTAAACAGGAGCTAAGACTTACGGCCCTTAGCGTTAGAGAGTTAGGTCTAGGGTAGTTGGGTAGGTGTTTGGGTTTGGTGGTAGTCTCTACACTTGTCGTTGCAGGATTGTTATGCTTGGTAATTTTTTCTTATTTTCTTTTGTATACCTTAATTTGTTCTTTGCTTCTTTTTTGACGGTACACAATAAAAATTTTGCATCATCGAGTCGATACAATGTGCAGATATAAAGCAGCGCGGCATACCCCTATAAAATCAAAGGCATAATCGTGCCAATCAAAGAAAAACAGAACAAACAACACTAGACTACTTGGTTCACCCAACGTAGCACATTCTTCTTAAATATTCATAATAATGCTTGGCAGCACCAATTGGCGCGCCATATGCATCACAAGCAATTCTGGGATTATGTTCAATAAGAGAACAGAGCACAGCCGTTGAAAGCTTTGGAAGACCATACAGATTGTAGTCCACTTTAAGCAAGGCTGCTAGCAGTAAATGTTCAATACGGTCATCATGTTTTGAAGACATTGCCTTCTCCACACGTTCCTCAGCCTTCTGTGGGACAGCGTCACTCACTAGCTTGGGCCCGGTCTTTGAAGTAGGGACTGGCTCCCTCTGTTCCATACCATCTAAAAGATCACTATGCCCATCCGCTTGCTGTCCCTTCGAAGGTCAGCACGACACAAGTGTCAATGGCCTCTGTGCTTTTACCCTGACGTCGCTTGCGCTTTGTCTTTTGCCTCGCCTGTTTTGTAGCCTGCGGCCCATCAACCTGTTCTTCACAAGCTGTGGTCTTTGCTGCTGCTAGCACCACAGAAGTGGCCTTGCCACTGGTTGAGCATCCAGCATCGTGCTTGTGTTTATGTCCAGCCCTACGCCTGGTTCTTTTGGATGCCACATGATGTACCCCTGGATGGCTCCACCAAAACCCCAAACTCTCCCAAAATATCCAAAAGCCTTTAATCTTCATTTGATAATCAAAATAAAGTCTCTTCCCTCCTTTTTAGCCTTGGACGAAAATGAGGACCAAAAAGACAAACCTTGTGTGTTGTTTTCTACTTCTTTTGTTCCTTTCATTAAATAAGACTTTCCCCTTATTTTCCCACACCTTTCCCACCAAATTCCCACCCATTTTCTCCCTAAAATCCAGCCCTAAATCATGAGAAAACAACAACAAAACAAAAGGACAAAATCAGCAAAGAAGTCTTTGATTGAATAGTAACTTCTTGTCCTATTATTCAATTAAAGTCAAGCCATGTTGTTTCCTTTGTCTTGCACCCATATGGCCGAAATATACTACCTAAAACAAGCCAAAGAATGCCTCATCATGGACAAATAATACTCCTTTGATTTACTCCACAAGAGGCCGAAATCCACATCCAAAAAAAGGCCAAACAAATCCCTTTCCTTTGTCCTTAAAGTCAGCACATTTGGATTGTAATAGTTTAGTGTTAATCATGTGGTAGGAAGCTGCATTGAAAGTGTTGTATTTTCCCTATAAATATTTGGCTTCATGGCCATTGTAAAAGACACCAGATTATTGAATTAAAAACCTTGTTTACTCTTTTGAGTAATTCCTTTAAAATAGTGTGATGCTATTT